CTCTGAGAAGGAAACCTACGTGCTAAGCCCTGATTAACCCAGCGAGAATGTGACTGCTCAGACTTTCTCCTCCAGCGTTAACCTCCCTCTGCAGAAACTCTTGCCACTTTGGGCTGCCCGGTTCACGCTCGCCCATGTCATGAGGAAAATAGGAGCCAAGGTAGTTCAGGCTTAACAACCCATGCCAAGGTCGCCGGGACACAGTCTCGCCTGGTCCTACTCCCAGCACCTCATCCTGCTCATCCTCAGCCCCTGTCAGCAGTGCCTCAGCCCCGGGCTCTCAGACCCACCCAAATTCACCACTGTGCCTGGGAGCTGTGCCCATCACGCCACGCCACCTTTTCTCCAGCTCCCACACACCTGAGGTCTGAAAAGCAGTTTACTACCTTACGTACAGCAGTCTCATGTTCCCATAGTTCTTGCTCGGTACTACATGCACAGCCCAAACCTCAAAATGTATATATACTAAGATACATGAAGTTTCCTTCTGTCTCCATTCCCTGGCCACCTACTTCCCACGGTATTTTTTGTATATTTAATACCTGAAAACACACACACACACGCGCGTACACACACACGCATGCACACACACACTCCTATTCTTCCTCCCTTTCCCCCACACATACCATACACACTGCTCTGCACGCTCCTCTTTCCTTTGACCATACAGCTTGAAGATTTTTCCAATCCATAAAGAACTTCTCTTACAACCATTGTAATCCATTGTAGGAACGTGTCATAATTATTTAATGACGTCCCATTGCTCGCTTCTCATCACCGCTGTTACATAAAGTGCACTAATGAATAACCCTGCACACACGGTATCCCACTACAGTTGGACTTTCTGGGTCTAAGGAGTATATGCTCGTTCAGTTTGACCAGAATGCCCTCCACAGAGCTGGCACTCCCCGCGTCCTCCCACCAGCTGTAAGAGTGCCCCCCATCCCAACAAGCTCACCAGAAAATAATGGTATCGCTGTGTTGGTTCAAAGTACATTTCTCTGTGATAAGTGAGACTGGGTGTCTTTATATGTCTAAGAACCATTCGTATTTCCTAGTTCATGTACTTTACCCATTATTGTTTTCTTTTTAAAGTGGTTTAGCTTGCTATAGGGTATGTGTCCTGACTAGAGAGAGAGAGAGACAGAGAGAGACAGAGAGAGAGAGAGAGTAAGAAATTACCTCCCAAAAGGGATAGTCATGCTGCAGTCTCTTCTGTTCCATTCTTGTCTGGGACTTGGGGCACACATACACACACGCCTGCTGTGATTTTCAAGCCACAGGGTCCAGGACAGGAACCATGCAGATGACCACGTGAGAGCCAGCAACTTTAACCTCCACATCACCTGCTGGTTCAATTTTTCTCCTTTCATTTTTTTTTTTTAAATGTACACTCACAGGAGAGAGAAAGAGAAGGAAGGCAAGTGAGCAAACATCTACCAAGGGAGATGACCACACTGCAATCGCTTCTTCTCCAGTCTCCTCTGAGAATTTTGAGCATACACGTGTGCCCAGTGTGTTTTTCTTATATTTCTTAAGAGAGATTTTTTGCTATAGGGCATGTGCGATCGCCAGAGAGACGGAGTGAGACCAAGGAACAAAAGATGAGAAGGATGGCCACTCTGCAGTCTCTTCTCCTTCATTCTCCTCTCAGGATTTTGGGCATGCATGCACACGCACCTGGCATGAGTTTTAAGCTGCCAGGTCCAGGATTCGAACTGTAGTCAACTATGTGGGAGTCCAGCCATGTAACCATTACACCATCTGCTGGTCCTACCCAGTGTGTTTTTCAAGCTGCCGTGTCTAGGACTCAAACCATGCAGTCAGTTTGGGGTATCCAGCTTCCTAAATCACCATGCCATCTGGCTAGCCCTGGCCATTTTTCTTTTTTTCCCTTTCCTTTCCTTTCCTTTCCTTTCCTTTCTTTCCTTTCCTTCTCTTTCCTTTCCTTCTTTCTCTTTCTCTCTCTCTCTCTCTCTCTCTCTCTCTCTCTCTCTCTCTCTCTCTCTCTTCTTTCTTTCTTCCTTCCTTTTTTAGTAATTCTGCTACAATGGGCATATGCTTCCCAGAGATAGAGAAACAGAGAGAGAAGGAAAGCAAGAAAGCAATACCGCTGGAGGATGGTCTGGCCACATTCCCTCTTCATTTTGCCCTGCGTTCAGGATTTTGGGCATGCAAACACAGATGCCCAGAGTGTTTTTGAAGCCACCAGATCCAAGACTTGAACTGCACTGTTGGCCATATAGGATCCAGCTGCCTTAACCACAAGGCCACAGGCTGGCCCAAAACTCTTTTTATATTGAGGGAAATTAGCCCTTTGACTTATTATTATTTTATGTCAGAGGATATATGCACTTCAAGAGAGAGAAAAAGAGGGAACCAGCAGTTAGTGTAATGGCTATGTCGCTGGACTCTCACGTAGTCAACCGCGGTTCGCATCCCGGACCCGGTGGCTTAAAACTCACGCCGGGCGTGTGTGTATGCGTGCCCAAGATCCTGAGAGGAGAATGGAGAAGGAATTGTGGCGTGATCACCCCCCCACGGGGGTGATTTCTTGCTTTCTGTCTCTCTGTCTCTGTCTGTCTGGCGAGTGCACGCACCTTATAGCGAAAATCTCTCCCCCGCCCAAAAAAAAAGAGAGAGAGAGAAAGAGAAAGAGAAAGCACTACCCAATAAGGCCTGGTCACACCACAATCTTTTTTCCTCCGACTTGCCATCCCATCAGGATTCTGTCATACTTAGAAAGATACTCCAAAGTCATAAAACAATTTCTCCTGGTTTCTTCTAGATTTCTGTGGGTTATACTTTTTCACACTTAAATATTTGTCCCATTTGGAATTTTTCTTGGTGCAAAGTGTGAGGTATGGATGCAGCTTAATTTTTCCCAGATCTGGACCTAACCCATCTATAAACAAGTCATGTTTCCCCCCTCACATTGTCTCTGATGTCATGATTTTTATAATGCCATTGACTTTCTTCTCGCTCCATGCCTGAGACAGTCCCAAGCACTTCAGATACTGTGTGTTTAAATCCTGTGACATCATTGGGATTATTAGCACCATTTGACATATGCGGAAATGAAGGCTCATGGAAGGGTACTGATTTGTCCAAATTTGATCCCTGCTAACCAGGGGTAGAGCTAGGATTTCAAACAGAGCTCTCAAGGAACACACGATACAGCCTCAGGTTTTCTCCTCCGGCCGTAACTACTTCAGCTTCTGAAATAAGGTAGGAAAGAAAGAACGCCAGGCTGCATATTTGCTAGGCTTTTCCTGGGCTTTTGGTCCTACCCCAGACAGGTGCATGGTAAACCTGGTGGCCCACTATCCCAGCTCTGCTCACTTTACTGTGGTAGACTGGCAGACCGTCTGCCAGCCCCGGGGCCTCCCCACAATTAGTGCGGGCTGAGCGGGCCCACCACCTTGTCCTCCCAGATGTTGTGGCTCACTCTCTTAGCCCCTTCAGTCTTTGACTCAGGTGTCACCCCTGGTTGACGCATCTCCAGTGGCCCACAGCTTGATGTGCTGGCTAGCACTTTTGCATTCCTTAAAAAGGCATTCTGGGGACCAGCAGTTAGCGTGATGGCTATGTCGCTGGACTCCCACGTAGTCAACAGTGGTTCGCGTCCCAGACCCAGTGGCTTAAAACTCATGCCGGGCGTGTGTGTGTGTGTGCCCAAGATCCCGAGAGGAGAATGGAGGAGAAGGGACTGCGGTGTGGCCATCCCTCCTGGGGGGGTGATTTCTTGCTTTCTGTCTCTCTGTCTCTCTCTGTCCGTCTGGCGAGCGCATGCGCCCTATAGCAAAAACCTGTCCAAAAAAAAAAAGGCATTCTGGACCAGCTGGTGGTATGGTGGTTAAGGCACTGGATCCCATATGTCTGACTGTGTGGTTCAAGTCCCAGACCAGGTGGTCTGAGAAACAGGCTGGACACATTGTATGCATGCCCAAAATTCTGACGAGCAAGTTGAAGGAGTAGGAATTGTGTGACCATCTCTCTTTCTCTCTCTCTCTCTCTCTCTCTCTTTCTCTCTCTCCCTCTCTCCAGCAGGTACATCCTCTGGCAAATTAAAAGAAAAGGGCTTCCTGTCCTCCAAGCAGACATAGCACCTCATGGGGGTGAGACTTGATCGTTAGAGAGTAGGTAGAATTTCAGGCCCCACTTGCCCTCTCATATGTACAGGGCGCAAGCCATACATACGGCTGTACATGGTGGCCCTGTCCCAATGTCACCACAGTAAGGTGGTTGTTGTTTCTCAAGATGCAAAGTACCCACACACATATACATTCGCCCTGTCCCACTTCCCTATCCCCCCTCATCCCTTAGCACTTATTGCTGTCTGACATACTAAATTATTTATTTATTTTTCTTGTTTACTGTGTGTTTTTCCCAGTTCTAAGATGTAAGCTCCATGAAGATAAGGATTTTTCTTTTTTTTTTTTTTTTAATTTTTCTCCTAAAACTGTGCCTGATACATAGTTGAATGAAAGGAAAGGGTGAATTCCAGCAGCTTTCTTTTCTGCCCATCCCATGAGGCTTCCCAAAGCAGTCAAGGGAAGGAGAGGGGAGGTTTGGCAACCCCTAGAAGGTGCCAGAAATCAAGCCACTCACCTGGAGAGTGGAGGCTGAAGGAGTCTCAGAGCATCGTCCGTCCTTCTCATTTGCTCGCTGTGATTTCTGCGCAGTCTCTTCCTTCTTTCTGTGCGACTTGGCCAAATGGGAGGCAGGGTAGTGGAGCCGTGTGTGTGTTCTTTCTTCTCCAGACTGGTGGGCAAGTGGCTGCTGTCTAACCTCCTCCCACGTCCGTTGTTGGTTGTTCTCTAGGCTGGGAGCTGGCTTACTTCCCAGGCCTCTGGGGCCCTTCAGACGGCACCTCATCCGAGGACCTTCAGGATACTGAGAGACATCAAAAGAGGGTCCGAACCATGTTTAACGTGGAGCAGCTGGAAGAGTTGGAGAAGACGTTTGCCAAACAGCACAATCTGGTGGGGCAGAAGAGAGCACAACTGGCAGCCCAGCTCAACCTGACAGAGAACCAGGTGGGACCTGGTGGGGTTGGGACTGTGCCTGGGGACACACAGGACCTCTGGAGGGCCTAAGTCCAGGGGGAGGAAGACAGGGTCTTCTTCCTTTGTACTAGACTGCTGAAGAGACAGGCCCTAACTTTTTGCACACTCTATATAATGAAAAGGACAAGCCCATCTGAAGTCACATTATGAGAACAACATAGAATGTTAATCTATACTATTAATATTAATCTAGAAATTTCTAACAAAGTATTTTCATGGTAAATAAAGAGCTGTCTGTGAAACTAAGTAGTTACTCAAGGAATTGGGCCAGCAGGTGGTGTGGTGGTTAAGGAGACTGGATTCCCACATGACTGACCAAGGTTCAAGTCCCAGACCTGGAGTCTTACTTTCTCACTTTCTCTCTCTCTCTCTTTATTGCTCTCCCCCTCCCCCACTCTGTCTCTCTCTGGTCGAATTTTAAAAAAAAGAGAGAGAGAATAAATAATATGTTAAATAAAATTCTTTTTAAAAAAGTAGTTACTCGAGAAGTTAAGTATTTTTTATAATTATTTTATTTTATTTATTCATTCATTCATTTTTTAATTTTACCAGAGAGAGACCGAGGTTGAGAATGAGAGAGAGAGGAAGCGAGAAAGCAAGCCACCAGATTCAGGACTCGAACCCTGGTCGGCCATGTGGGAGTGGACAGCTTAACCACCACGCCACCTGCTGGTCCCCAAGAATTTAAGTATTTTTTAAAATAATATTTAGTGAGCCAGTTGGTGACATGGAGATGAAAGTGCCTTGATCCCACATGGCTGACTATGTGTTTGAGTCCCAAAGCTGGCAGCTTGAAAAACACGCCAGGCACGTGTGTATGTGTGCCCAAAATCCTGAGGGGAGAAAGTGGAAGGGATTGCAGCATGGCTATCTCCCTGGGTGGTGATTCCTCACTTTCCTTCTTTCTCTCTCTGTGTCTCTCTGGCAAACACATGCACCCGAAGGCAAACCTAGAAATAATAATATTAATAATAATAAAAATTCAGGCCAGGATGGTGGCGCAGCAGTAATGCAATGCTTCCCAATGCCAAAGTCACATGGCAGTGTCCAGAGGACACCTGTACCAGCCAGGTGCACGTGCACATGCCTATGATCCTGGCTGGCAAAGGCTGGGTAGGTTGGAGCACAAAGACCCTATCGGGACTACTTTCTCTCTCTCTCAGTCTCTTTCTCTCATGAAGGAAATAAATAAATTCAAAAAGAATAATGAGTAGGCTAGCCTTGTAGCCTAGTGGTTAAGAAAGCCAGATCTCATATGGCCACCCAAAGTTTGAACCCCAGCCCCAGCAGCTGGAACTCACCAAGCACCTGTGCATGCATGCCCACATCCCAGCAGGATGGAGAAATGGGGGAGAAGGGATGAGGTGTAACCATCCTCCACTGGGGGGGTACTTTCTCCTTCCCACTCACTCTCTATTTCTCAGTTTCTGGTGTGTGTACATGCCCTCTGACAATTAAAATAATAATAGTAATAATAGATATTTCCTTGGCCTTTATATTCTCCTGCAGCTATTGTACCATTTCTCCTCTTATTTCATAGGCAAATTTCTCAAGAACTTGCTATGTTCACTCTCGCCAAGCCTTCACCTCCCATGTGTGTGTGTGTGTGTGTGTGTGTGTGTATATAAATAATTTTTTTAGGTTTTTGCCATAGGGCAGGTGTGCTAACCAGAGAGACTGAGAGGGAAAGTGAGCAATTACCCCCCTCCTCAGAGAGGATGAGCATCCCACAATCCCTTTTCCTCTACTCTCCACCTCAGAGAGAATGACTGAGAGGGAAAGTGAGCAATTATCCCCCTCCTCAGAGACGATGAGCTTCCCACAATCCCTTTTCCTCTACTCTCCACCTAGGATCTTGAGCATGCATACACACTCCCAGCCTGATTTTCAAGCCACCAGGCGCAGGACTTGAACTGCAGTTGACCATGTAGGAGTCCAGTGCGTTACCTACCACACTACCTGCTAGCCCCCACTTAATTTTCTAATTTTTTTTTTTTTCTGTGCTAGAGGGTACCTGTACTCATGAGAGAGAAAGAGAGAGAGAAAGAGAGAGAACCCTCGGATGGGGCCTGGTCACATCACAAACCTTTTCCTTGATTTCTCCATCCTATTAGGATTTGGGGTACACATACATACATGCCCAGCATTTTTTTTTGCGTGGGGGAGAGATTTTTATATAGGGTGCTTGCACTCGCCAGAAAGATAGAGAGACACAGAAAGGGAAATATCATTCCCCCAGGGGGGATGGCCACACCACAATCCCTTTTCCTTCAGTCTCCTCTCAGGATCTTGGGCATGCATGCACACATGCTCAGTGTGAGTTTAAGCCACCAGGTCCAGGACTCGAACTGCAGTCAACTACGTGGGAGTCCAGTGACATAGCCACTACTCCATCTGCTGGTCCCTGTGCCCAGCATTTTTAGCAAACCACTGGGGCTGGGAAAAACTTCGAACTGTGTTGGCCATGTGTGATCTGGCTTTCAAAGCATGGTGCTTACCAAGTGGGCCACGGGGCCTACTCCTTAACTCATTCTAATGTGACCTCTTTCC